CTGGGTTTAAGGACCTTGACTATGACTAGTTTTAACCTTATGTTTCTGGGTTTAAGGACCTTGACTATGACTAGTTTTAACATTATGTTTCTGGGTTTAAGGACCTTGACTATGACTAGTTTTAACATTATGTTTCTGGGTTTAAGGACCTTGACTATGACTAGTTTTAACCTTATGTTTCTGGGTTTAAGGACCTTGACTATGACTAGTTTTAACTTTGTGTTTCAGGGTACAGTCAAGCCTACACAATGGTTCCTCTCAGTTTAAAACCAATGTTCTTTGAAGTTCCCCAGACAGAAACAGAACCGATATTTTTTGGCAGGCAATGGTTATATCGAGAGATTGAACAGGTAATTATCTTCATATTTATGAGAAGTCAAATCTGTAACGAATTATATTTAACGAAAGCAAAAATAAATGAATGAATAGAAGGAAGAAGAATGAAAGTCAGTATTTAGTTTTTGAAGAAATAATCACTTGATTAAACCTAGATTTGTTCATAATTCATTGAGATGTGTTTGCCCCAAAAGTTTCAAGTTTGTTATTTTACTCATTATCGCTGACTGAATGTTTTGTTTATTTATTGTTAATTTTGTTGAAAGTTTTTGAATGTTATTATAATTTCAAATTGTGATACAAGCACGTCATAAGCAGATATAGAATGAATCAAACTTCCACACACGTGGCTCACACTTTAATCTCATGTACAATGAACAAAAATCTGTGTATATGGTTTACAAACTAAGTCAGTAGCGAACTCTAAAGTTTTTAAAAGCCTGAGGTTCTGTTTCTACTTTTTGTCGTGACTGTCATACCATCCTTTCACAAACACGCCAAGCCCGTAAACCCAAAACCAAAGTTGGAGTTAGTTAAAGAGGTACCCGGCATGGCCAGGTGATTAGGGCCCCGGCATGGCCAGGTGGTTAGGGCGCTCGACTCGCAATCTGAGGGTCGCGGGTTCGAAAATCCGTCACACCAAACATGCTCGCCGTTTCAGCCGTGGGGGCGTTATAATGTGACGGTCAATCCCACTATTCGTTGGTAAAGAGTAGCCCAAGAGTTGGCG